ACCTGCAGTCGTGCTAGAGCTCACGTTCGGGGAGGTTCGTCTGTCTGTGGCTTCATGTCCGCCGCCTCCTCTCGTCTCCGCAGGCTCGTCCTCGCAGAATGGCAGCGCTCTGCGCAGGGAGCTGTCAGGAGGAAGCTACGGGTCCAAACGCCAGACCATGACCTCTCCTTCCGAGAGCTCCCTGTCCTCTGGCGGAGGGGTGGACTGCGGTGATGCTCCGCTCTCACAGTTCGACAGAGAGGTCAGTGAACGTGCAGCTTCATGTGAGGTTGACTCTGAGTTTTTTAGTTAGTGTTTGTTTGGACGAAACATTTTGTTTATTACTCAGTTTTTACTGGCTGTTGGCTCGAACCTGCAACATCGTGTCAATCAAACATCAGCTTCGTATGACGTCCACATAGAGACGGCTGTTTTCTTGTCGTGAGCTTTAGCAGGTAGACATTATCAGCAGAAACTGCCTGTACTCCCCTTTGAACCAAACTCCTCCATCAGTCACGAGCATCCCGACATCTGCAGGCCGCGCTCCTCATCCCATCGCTCCGCAGGTGTTAGCTCCCTGTGATGTCAGCAGAGGCCGTTATTGCCGTGATTCTTGCTTTTAGCTTTTAGGTCGGATGAGAGCCAATCAGACTCCAGTCTGGCACTGGTGGTGCAACATCGCTCATAATGGTTTCCGGCAACATCACTTCTAAGTTGTTTTCACTCGCATGAAGTGACTCTGATCGAGAGTACAGGAAAAAATAAAAACAGCAATTATGGGCGACGTCTGCCCCCCCCCGACCCCCTGTCATTCCCCCTGCTGGTCCTCCCTTCCCATTGGACGTTGTCAACTCCATCCTGCCCCATCTCGCCTCCCTCCATCGTAACTCAGCTGTTCCCTGCTTCGTGCCTGTCCCCCTCCCTTTCCCCTCATCCCTCCCCACCCCAGCATGTTGTCTGTGGGCTGGGCGCTGAGTCTGAACTCTCCTCTGCAGTGGCAGGCAGTCTCACCGTCGGAGAAGACCCCCGATCTGAAAAGGGCTTTAAGGACCCTGCTTAGTAAGATGAAGGTAACGTCAACAGCTGCAAACACACAACTGAGAGCACCGTGTCACTGTGTATCTCACACACACACACACACACACACACCACTGAGTCGCCTTCGCTGCACCATTTCAGCGCCGTCACATCAGCAGCCTCTGATTGGTTTGTTGCATCTCTCAGCTGCACCATCTGGCCTTCGTGTCATCGCCTTTCGTTGCCGATGGAGTGGCGCGGCGCTGCTTCACCATCGCTAATCACAGAGCATGTGTGCTTCCATACTGCCCCCCGATGGCCTGCCCATGTTTCCTAACCAGGAGCTGTCAGCTCAGAGCACAACCAGACCTCTGGTTACTCAGCAGGTGATGGGAAATGAATACATAGTAAAGGAACGATGTCACAAACTTGAATAAACAGATAAATTTATTGGCATTAATAATCCACACAAGTTTTCAATGCATGATGTTTCCTCGTTATATTGGTGGTGCCCCAGGAGGCCCCTGGTTGTAAGACTGCCGTCACACACAAAGGAAAAAACTTCTCTCATGACAGAGAACAAGAGTGTGCATGCTTGAGCGTGTCAGGTCGATGTGGGCGGGAGCAGTGTAGCTGCGCCTTTGCTGCCCATCTACACGGACTCCTGCAGCTGTGCTTCGTGTAGCGGTAGTGTGACTGTGCTCTTTAGTGTTTTATAGGTGGCGTGTGTTTAGATGGGATATAAATAGACGATTGGATCGGTGAACTGTAAGAAACGTACATTACAGTGTATGAAACACCCAGGACATCAGTGAGCTGGAAGGAGCCTCACACGCTGTACAAGGGTGGAGCAAGCCCACACACACCACCAGCTCGGCCTGCCTGCATGTTTGTTTTCCTTCAGCTGATCATTTCTGGTCAATCGAGCCGTTCATCTGCATAAGCGGAAGACGAGGCGGGGGCGGGTCAGCGTCACTCAGTCTGACTTCCTGTCTGCCCCGCCGTCACAAAAAGCAGATTAATGAGCAGTGCATGTGCAGCAAGCACTCGTCATCAGTAGCTGTTAGGAGCAGACAGAGGCGCAGCTTCATCTGTTGTACGCGTCCCGGTTTACTTTGTGGAAGGGATCGTCTAATTTCTCCAACTCTTCCCTCTTTCCTCCAGGATTCGGACTCCCCGCGCCACTCCACGGCCTCCAACAGCTCCACCTTCAGCAGCCCTCCCAGCCCGGCCTCCCCACACAAGACCAAGTCCCTGTCCTTGGAGAGCACAGAAAGGATGGGCTGGGACACATGAGCCCCCAGCGGTCCATCCGACCCCCCTCACCCACCCACCGACTGACCCATCAACGACCCACCCACCGACAGCACAGGACTCCAAATTCTCCAACTCTTCCTTTTTTTGAATATTGTTCCCTCACTGCCCAGAGAACTGCACCTCCTGCCCATCACTCCCTCCCAAAGAAGATTTGTCCCACTTTACCCCCCCACACTATGTCTCAGCGTTCTTCCACAGTGGGGCCGAAACACTCGCTAGACAGCGAGGGACAAGCTATCAAATGCTATCAGTGGTGTACATGTGGGTGCTGATGTTTGGCTTGTGTGTGTGAGTGTGTGAGAGAGAAGGTGTGTGTGTGTGATGTCGGGCAGGTGATGCAGGAACAGGAAGCTCCCATTTTGGCTCTTTTTGGTCAACTTGTCGAGATTCACTGAGAGACTCTTAAAAAGTCACGATGCAATCCAAAAAGAAGATGAAATATTATTGAGAGCAGAAGGTTTGTACTTGTACATAGGACCCGCCGGGATTCAGGGGACAGTGTTTTAATTTATTTATCAATCATAGACGAGGAAAAGGAGCTCTGCTGCTTTGTGGCCGAAGCAGACGGGTGGAGTTACCCCCCCCCCACCTGCTTTCTCTCTGGGTGCTGCAAAAAGATAAAAAAAAGGAATTATTTTATTTTTTGCTCCTGATACTAAGTGCAGCGACTTTATAACATTTTTAATTTCCACCATCAGCAAAAAGCTCCAACAGCGGCTCCTGTGACATCACACGACAAACTCATTTGGTTCCCCAGAGCGAACGACATCATCAGGGGTGCGCGTCCTCCGTCGTGGGCGCTCCACGCTGTCCAGCCAAAACTCCCGTCACAGTCATGTACATAGGTTCAGAGTAGAGAGTAATATATGATAAGGAAAATACTATAGAGAACTACACGGGGCGGGAAACTCCTCCTTTATTTTCCCGCTTTTGTTTGGAGTGATTCCGGGTTGTTTCGCACTCGAAGCCATTTTAAAACCACTTCTTTTGTTTTTACTGATTAATTTTAGATTTGTTTCTTTTCATGTTGTTTCTATGACGTGCGCATCCCTCCCCTCCACTTCATATGAGTGGGGGGAAAAAAGCTGACTTGTGTATCGGCACTGCTGCCTGTACACAGACGCACACAGACGCACACAGACACAGACGCACACAGACACAGACGCACACAGACACACACGCACACAGACACACACGCACACAGACACACACGCACACAGACACACACACAGACACACAGACACACACACAGACACACACACAGGCGGTTGTTGCCTTGTTGTGCTCCTCTGACTGTTGGCGGTGTTTGAAAGGTCGCTGAGATGAGCTCTGTTTCACCAAATACGGACACAACAGGGAGGCGCCGCGACTTTGCTCGTTCCAACCAACGTTTTAATGACTCGTGAAAATTTGTAAGAGGAGGGATTAAAAAAATGAGAATGTAAACAGTGCGAGGAAGTCACACCTGGGTTTGTGTTCTGGAGGCGATGGAGTAAATGACCTCTGCCTGTTGTTGTTGTGTGACCTGAACAGGGCCGGAGCTCTGAGCCGCCTCCACGGCACTACTTTACTCTACTTTACTTTACTTTACTTTTCCTTTGTCAGTGGAAAGGCCTTTAAAAAAATAGAAGAGGGGGAAACGGTGTGGCAGCTTCTGGCAGCAGAGCAGGGCATTCACAGCCAAAAACCTGTTACCTCTGTTCATCTCCTGTAGGCATTTTGACCCGCGGGACACGGCGGCGTGGCATCAAAGAACCCACAGAGGGTTTGAGCCTCGCTCCACATGATTCCACTCGTCCTGTTTGTCAGAAAGGGAAAACTCTTCAGTGGTCATTCCCCCGTGGAAACACAGCAAAGAGCTGCAAACAGCTCATTCCAGGTGTTCTTATTTTTATTATTTTTTAATTTGCAGAGAGGTTTAGAGCTCCCAGCTGGTTTTACTCCAAATATCTTAGAACTTTTTTTAAGCTAGTGACTCCTTCGTTCCTGCGACGAGTTCATCTGCAGAACGACGAGCCGGTGTGTGAGGTGTTAGCCAGGCGGCGTCTGTTTTTCATTTTTGGCCAATACTGTGCAGAAAATCTGATCCTAGATGTCCCGGTTCAAAGAGAGCGAGAAGGGGAAACTCAGGAAACAAATTTTCAGTCAGATGAGCGCGATCGAGGTGCGTTTGATTCATTTGATGGATGGGCAGCAGTAAGTGAGGGAATGTGACCCGGGTGGAGGCGGCAGCGAGTATTGGGTGACAGGTGGCTTCATGGCCGAAGTGCCGCAATTTAAAGAAATGGAAACGCCTTTACATTTCAGTGAGGTCTTATCTCCAGTACCTTCTATATTGTTTTGCTCTTTCATATCATATTCCACTTTGTTTTCTAGGATTGCTTTGTAATAATTTGTACAGTTTTGCATGTTATAGATGTAATCATTTGTTTTCGGTTTGTCGTTTTATTCTTTTTGGAGCGGTTTGGGTGTTTTACTGAGGATAACCCACTACAGCTGATGTAGATTCTTTTTTTGCACAAAAATATTTAAGGTGTAAGGTCAAAACAAAAATAATGTATGGAAGCGGCTGCCACACTTACGTGGAGAACTCATTATATTAACCTGACTCCGATGTATTTCAATAAAGCGGAGGGCTGTTACAAATACACTCAGTGTTACCGTGTGCTCATTTCTCCTCAGGAAACATCAGAAGCTTTTGATTGTTTTGAAACTTTATTACAAATGACCAACAGGAATTCACTTTTTACATCTATGAACATGTTTTGCCTCTGGAGGAAACGTTGCTCTAACTTTAGTAAGGACACATTTGCAAACAGGACGGAGTAAATCTGCTCAAAGCGAACGTGTTCGGACGGAAAGGGAAGGTAAGCTGTGTTCAGGTGTCCGTACAGCTCCATGAAGGTCGCTGGTGATCTGCTTGAGGTCATTGAATCTGTGCTTCATCACCTCTGTTGGGTTTGTTCTCTTCGCAGTCATAAGGCAGGAGTTTGGATTCAGCATGTATACTCTGGATTTCAGCCCTTGGGTTTAAAACAGCAAAGCACAGACTGACATGATTTCCTTGTATCGTTCCAAACATTATTGCACAGGTGCAAGAAAACACTCACTAAAATCCAGCTTTTAAAATGAGGCGAGGCTTCTAGAAAGTTCAGCAGACTTAAAATGCCTTCGTGTGCAGAGTAGCAGGTTCAGATTCAGCAGAGATCTAAAAGCTGTGGATGGATCTGAGAACTTTCATTCAGTCGTTTCATCCTCTCACTGAAATCAGTTCTTCTCCTGATTGGCTGCCCCTCATAAACAGAAGAAAACCTGGAACAAGGGTAATAAATCTAAGCCCCACCCCCACCCCAAAAACCTCCCAAACACTAAAGACTAGAGGACGGCGCTCCAAATGTCTCGTGTCCATCATCGAAGTCCTTTTATACAAAGTAAGCCGCATCGTGCGGTCGGTCACATTTAGTTGTCTGGCTCAGTCGTCGTTCCCCGACTGGGTGGAGTTTAAAAACTGTGCTAAGATTCACACTGGAGGCTACGTCATAAAGCTGTGAGGATGTTTAAGGCAAAGATTTCTGTCCCGTGCCCCCCCCCCTCTGTAACCAGACTGTCACTAAGCTGATGCAGCATTTGTTTCATCGATATTTCAGCTCTGAGCTCCCAAACCCATCACAGTGGCTGCTCGTCGACATTCTCCTCCTCAGACTCCACCCCTTCAGGCGGTCGCTCCATCCTCCTCCAGGACTCTGTGGATCCCGTTTCTGGGCACGCCGAGAACCGCCGTGGCCCCGCTGCTCAGGTCCCTGATGCTGCTGTGGCGCGACTGGTTCTCGAGCCTCTGGGCGGAGCCGTGCCGCGACAGGCTGTCGAGGTGATTGGTGCTGCAGTGCCTGGACTGTGATTGGTGGTTTAGACGAGGCAGGCTCCCATATGGCAGCCGCTCGTCTGCGGCTCTGAAACTGGAGGCCGTGTATCTAAATGGAGAGGAGCAAAAATGAGCCTCGGGGCTGTGCGGGTGGGCGGGGTTAATGAAAGACCGCGATGTCAGAACCTACCTGCCGTCTCGCGAGCGGTGCAGGCTGCCGTGGTAGCTGCTCATCTTGGAGCGGGCGCTGCGCACGGAGCCGGCTCGGCTGGTGCTGGCGCTCGGCGGCTCGTCCAGCATGGCCAGGTGGGTGGAAGAGGCGTGGGTGGAGGTCCCTTGTGTGGATGTGCCCCGTGACTTCCTCACAATGGGGGTGTTGGGATCCCTGAGGAGCAGCTGGGTGAAGTCGGGCTCCTGGAGCACTTGTCGGCTATCGTTGACCATCCTGCTGCAGCAGGTGGAGGAAGAGGAGGAGGGGAGGGGTGGCAGGGAAAGATGCAGGGTGGAAGGGAGGGAGAGGGGGAAGGTGGAGGGGCGGTGGGTGTGGTAGAAGAGGATTGAGGAATGTGTGGAGCAGGCAACGGGAGAGGGGGTTAATGCTCTGTTTGGAGGGGAAGTGGTGCAGAGGAGGTGAAAGCCTCAGAAGGCGTCACTGCAGGGACACAAACTGAAGACTGAAATCAGGATCTGTTCACATTAAGCTCTGCGCTCACCTGCAGGTCCTCACATCAGGCTTAATGATACGTGTGTGAGACAGGTGCACACTCTGCATTTATAATGTGATAACTAAGCAAACGTGTTTTTATTTGTTATTTTGGGACCATGTGTGAGGAGCTCCGGAGCGTCAGCAGCTGCCCTGAAACAGCCGCGCTCCCATCAGCTGCTGTACACGCGCAACACAAAAGAAATGAAATCCAGGTCTCCTTAAAATAATATTTGAATCAGTATATGTGGAAACATTTCAGTTTGCCAAGCTGTAAAATGTTTGAACTGCAAATGTGTTTCGGGAAGAGAACGCGAGTCCTTGTTTAGTGTCTCCATTGACTACAGAACAGATTAGGAAGAGACAGGAAGTCCACATTTACAGCAAACTGCAGTCTGCTGTCTATCTGCACGATGTGTTGTTTCCCCAATATTAGTATCTCTTTACTGGTAAATCTATAATTAAATTCTCATTTATCAAGTCCTGAATAATCAGATCTTATAACACCAAATGATGCTGATGGAGCACTTTGCTCTCAGGCTGCTGGGTTCCTTCTGCTTCCTTTTTAAAAGTAGAATGGGAACCGGAGCCTTCAGCTTTCAGGCCCCTCGTCTGTGGAACCAGCTCCCAGTTTGGGTGTAGCAAACCCCCCCCCCCAGGGCTGGACCAGCAGATGCTGCCGTCGGTCCAGCCTGCTGAGACTCCCCATGTGTTGTCTTCTTGCTCCTGTAGTTGCTCATCACTGCCACAGATGGCCCCGCCCCTCCCTGAGCGTGGTTGTACTGAAGGCTTCTTCCTGTTAAAACGAGTTCTTCCTCCCTACTGTTGCCACCTGCTTGTTCACAAAAGCTGTGTCCCAATTCAGGGTCTGCACGCTGTAAGTACGCGCACTACGTACGGTGCGTACTATAAGTACGAGAAGTGCGGAAGTGAGAGGCTTGTGAAATGGGACGGTATACGCTTCGTCGCGCTGTTCAGGTTGCCTAGCAACCACGATACTAACCGCGAGAAACGTTTCATTCAGCTTTGTGTGACAGAAATGAAGGAGAAAAATGTTTTGTTGGTCATTTTTGTCATGACATCACTTTGATTAGTTGAGTATCTGAGGCTGCGACCACGGGACTGTAAACATGATTGTTGGGCTGAACAGTCATTTGAGATTAGCTAGTAAATAACAATTAGTTAATGTTGTTCATGTTCACTAAAGCCATCTCACTGTGGTGATGTCAGATTATTATGATTAGAGAGAGAGAGAGGCTCCATCTTATTAGGGAACTCCACATACATAAATGTAAATGTCAAAACTCAACCCCATCATTTAATGTGTTTTTGATTGAAATTGAATATTACTTAAACTCTCTTAAATTAACTTCCAATAAAAAAGGTTTATCATTGATTGAAATTCATTCAGAAATGTTTAACGACTGAGCTGTCACAACTTTCAAGTACAAAGTTGTTATGAAGTCTGTCACATTCCCCCCTTCTTTTTTTTATCGTTTATTTATTTATCCTTCTTATTTCATTGTACTGTAGATTGTTACTCTTATTTGCCTTGTATGTCTACTGTACAAACTGAACTGACTGACTGTTCGCTTTATAAGTTCAATAAAGAAAAAACCTCTTCGGCCGCTCCCTTCTGCCGTATTTTGC